GACCTCCTATTGCTTAACTTCTTTATAATGTTTGTTAAAATTTCACTTCTTGTCTATTGCATTTCCATATCCAAATTTCATTGAAACTTCAGAATGAAAAGTTTCCAACTACCTGCCATGGATCTCTCTCCCCTCTGCTCTTTATACCGTCATCTGTCAGTTAAACTGGGTTTCTCTCTATTCCTTCAACACATCATACTAGTGCTTGCATGCATTTTGTACCACCTGAAACCTCTCTCCTCCCCTACACCTGCAAAGCTTCAAGGCCAGGCCCACTTATATTTTGCCTTTATTCTCTAAAGAGGAAATCCTAGAAATGGTTCTTCCTTAACTCCTCTGGCACTCACGATGGTCAGTTAGATTTGAATAAGGGCTTACTTAGAAAACATAGACATGCAGTGGATTAAGACCAACATTTGTTTTATTGTTTTGTCTCTCATAACTCCCAGCAGTGTTCTCAAATGGTAGATGTTATAAGTCCTTATTAATTTATTACAACAGGGAAAGAGAATTATATAAAATGAATTATCACTGGTGAAGAGTACCACAGCCTCTACACTATTGCTTTAATTTTAAGATCATGTTCATTAATTGAGGAATACCAATGAATTACATCATTCTAAGCAATTCAAATGTAAATTCTAATAATCATACTGTAATATTTTCTATTTTAGTTAGTTTTTATAAATATAAATTCAGCTTTTAAACATTTAAACTTTCTTTAAAAATATTAATTTTATAGATTAAGTACTAAAAGACTCCAGTCATGGTAAGCTAAGCCCTATCATGTAATATCAATTGTCCTCTATTCTGTATCATAAGTTTTACTTCCTTTTTACTGGATCTTTCTCATTGGCATTTAAGCCCGTGATCATTTTTCCTCAATATGCCTTTTTTAATAAAGTTTTCTTGATCACCCATCTTCTATTAGCTACTGCTTTGGAGTTGTCTGTTCCAGCAGTTCTCAATGATAACAAATATGCAGATCACTTGAGAATCTCCTTAAACTATAAACTCTGATTAAGGAGTCATGTTCTTGATTTACAAATTATTCCACAGCTTAGTAGCACAAAACGACGTGCATCTGGACACAGCCACACTGGGTGCCTTTGACGTAGGATCTTCAATGTGATCTGTAGTCAAGGAGTTTCCACTGTAGTCATCTCCAAGCTTGCCTTGGGGAGGATCCACTTCCAAGCTCCCGACACTGGCTGCTGGCAGGCCTCATGTCTTGTGAGGTATTGGTGAAAGACATCCATTTTCTGCTGTGTGGACCTCTCACGAGGTTAACTAGCAGCTTAGCAGTTTGCTCAGGTCAGGGAGGGAGTAGTGGACAATCCAGAGCCAGTCTTTTTATAATCTAATCTAAAGGGTAAAATATCTCATCAAATTTACCAAACTGTTTTAGGAGGCAGTTACTAAATCCAGTTCACACTCAAAGGGAGAGGTCACATGGGACATAAATAAGAGGAATTGGGAGTCATTGTGTTGCTATTAAAAGTTGCCTGCCTCAGTGGATTTAGGATAGACCTTGAGATATTACGTGTCTAAGAAATTCCTGGGTGATGCTCGTGCTGCTGGTCAAGAATCTCACTGAAGAGCAAGAGCCTTCACTTCTTGCCTTCAGTTCCTTTCCTTTTATCATCCTCTATGATCACACTCACTCCAGTAGGCTTTCTCATTCTCTTCTTCCCTGGAACTGCCTTTGTGGAAGTCACCAATGACCTCCACATTACCAAATCCACCATTTTAAAAGACTGATAGTTCATTGGAGAATATCATGCTAAGTGAAATAAGTCAATTCCAAATAACCAAAGGCCAAATGTTTTCTCTGATATATGGATGCTAATTCACAATGGGATGGGGGGGGGGGGATAGAGGTATTTTTGATTATACAAAGGGGAGTGAAGGGAGGAGAGAGGAGGTATGGATGTAGGAATGATAGTAGAATAAATCAGATATTATTACTCTATGTGCATATACAATTATATAACCTGTGTAACTCTATATCATGTACAACCAGATGAATGAGAAGTTATACTCCATATGTATGATGTGTGAAAATACATTCTACTAGTAGTCATGTATAACTAATTAGAACAATTAAAAGATAAGTAAGTTGTGAAGGGTCTGAAGCCACCTTAGACATAATTCATGTCTCCAACCTCCAAGGTACTATGAATTCTCACATTCAAACAGCAAGATTTAATAGAACAACATTAGCACAGAGATTGGAAAAAACATAGATTCAAAACTTGAGTTACTTCAAACTGGTCTTTCTACATGACCTCAAAGTTTTCATTTGTATTTAAAATTTAAAAGGGTATGAGTACAAACTGCAAAGTGCATGCAGATTTTAAGTCACATATGAAATATTTTTAAAAAATGGTAACACTATCTTTAAAATTGAGATGTGTGCCTTTAAAATTGGTATTACTAAGTTGGAACATATTCTTTTTAATTTAAAACTGAAGAGTGAATAGAGAAAATTAAATATTATGGAAAATGTAAAAAAAAGTGATAGTTCATTATATGTGAACCTTTCTTTACTTGGCTTTTGGAATACCAGATTTACATTTCTTCTCAGTCTATTTTGCTACTTACCTCTCTGTAATGTAAGTCCACAATGAAATCCTTGAACCTCTTTTTACTATCTACAGTTAACTCCTAAGTGGCATCCTTCATGTTTTTAAGCTTTAAATGTCAGATATATGCTAACCACTCTCAAATTTATTTCTCTATTTGAACTTCCCTAAAATCCTAACGTGTATCAAATGTCTAATGAATGCCTCACTTTGGACATCGACAATAATTTCAAGCTTAAAATGCACAAAACAGATGTCTTTGCTCCTTCCCCTGTGACTCCCCCCACCACCTAAGTCTATCCTGGTCATGTTGCTTCTCATCCATGTTTACAAACCCAACATACAGCAACACTCTTCAATCAGTTGTTCAAGTGAAAAACCTGGAAGTCATCCTTGGGTTCTCTCTTACTCTCCTATGCAAACAGTCATAAGTTTCATCAGTCTTACTCCTTAAGTGCTGCTTCAATCTCCCTGTCACTCTCGTTTCCGATGTCACTGCTGGAGTTTAGTTCATTGCTACCTATTATACAGATTTCTGCATCTGTTAGCAGTTTTCAATCTCCAACTCAAATGATCTTGGTATTTTTTGGTTTCTTTAATCCTATAGCCTAAAACTTTAGCCCCTTTGATTATTCCTTCCTAACCTGCTCTCTATACTTAAGCAAAGTAGGAACTGGGCTATGATTTAAGCTTTTGTTTGACTCCAACTCTTCATGAAAATTGTATCTCTTCTAGAACGTTCTTCGTTCCCTTCTTTGCTTATCTTTGCCTATCTGCCTTCTTTGCCTTAGATAAAATTTCAGCTTAAACATGACTTATTCCTAAAGTATCATCGACCTTTTAGGACAGGCTTGAGGCACCCACAATAGAGTCCATAACATTGTATACTTACCTATCTAAATGTCATTTCATTTTATACTAATAATTTAGTATCTTCTTCCCCATTTACAGTAAGCTCTGGGAAGGCCTGATCAACAGAGATAGATCCAAGTATTTTGAAACCTGAAACATAATTTGAGGGGCGCAATTTCAAATAAAAATACAACATACTCATATTCATTTATAATAAGGAATCACAACAAAGTATGAAATTAAGGAAAGTGAAAAATATGAAAATATGTGACCTTATGAACACACTGCTAGGTGTCATTTCCAGAAGCCTAGAGTGTAAGCTTCTTTAAATTCTATCATCATCTTAGTCTTTTTCAAAGCTTTATTTCGAGTGGCAAGAACAGTGCTTAACACATAGAAGGTATTCAATAAATATTTGTAATTAATCTCTTAACTGAATTATCTTGTATGCAGTTTCAATATGTTCTTTTGAAGATTTAGATTTATAAAACACATTTTATGTTATAAATTTTTCTTACAGTTATAGCTTTCAATTATTTTCTATGATCATATTTCCAAATTCTAATAATTCATATTATTAGTTATATCACTGGACTTTATTTATGTAGAAATCCCGTTGCACCTCTACAAAGTAAAACAAAAAAGTTGTAATTTGCATCAAAATATGCAGAATAATTTTCTATATGTGTGTCTATATTTTTATAGACCATATAATAAAACTTAAAATTAAATTTGAATGACTGTGATTTTTTAGATAAAATCCTTTGAGAAGAAGTCATCTATTTTCTGTTATCATTATAATAGACTTTGATAAACTTTTATCTCCAAAATAACAAAGATGCCAATATTTTATGAAACCTACAAAACATATAAAATGTTTTTTTTTTTTTCATATAAATTTGTCCACAAAATAGAGGTTATTAGGGCTGGGGTTGTAGCTCAGTGGTAGAGTGCTTGCTTAGCACATGTGAAGCAGTGGGTTCAGTCTTCAGCACCATGTAAAAATAAATAAAATAAAGGTATTGTGTCTATCTACAACTAAAAATGCATATTAAAAAAAAAAAGATAGAGGTTACTTGAGTCCAGGCAGTAGCATATCATTCAGAAGATAAGCCACTTGGCTTCAATCTTTGATGTTCAATTTGTTAAAATAAAGTAAGTTTAGTTAAGTTCCTTCTATAATAACACTGTAAATTTGCCAAGGATTTGCTGTGCTCATATCAAGATTGTCAGGTGTGTGTTCATCTATGTGTGTGTGTGTGTGTGTGTGTGTGTTATAAAGTACAGCCCTCTGATCAATGCGCACTCCCCCCCCCATTTTCCTAAATACATCATGAAAAAAGGATGAGGTTTCCGCCTTAATTGCTTGTGCCTTTTATTCACATTCCTCTCTCAGCCAGAATTGTGAAAAGAGTGTTAGTAAAAGGCTGCACAATAGAGCTTTTCATTAGGCCTCAGCAAGGCACACAAAAGAAGGCTTTTGGAAAGAGTGAATGCATGAGTTTAATTTGCAGGTGGAGAGTAGATAAAAGGTGCTGATGCCTCTATTATTCTCTTACTTAGGTGACCCTTACCCTGTTCAGCTGATCCCAACTACCATGGCAGCTGCTGCCGCAGCAACACCAGGCTTAGGCCCACTCCAACTGCAGGTAAGTCAGGAAACAATGAGGAGGAGACAAAGGTTAAGTCAATATGGAAAACAGCTATTATCGTGTTAAAACAAAATACAACTGACTAGTGATATTTGTGTCACACATTTTTGTTTTTAAATTTATTTATGCTGATCCTCAACCAAACGTTGAGGTGCTGATTCTTTTCATTTTTCAACCTGTTTCTGTACTAAAGATAGTGTATTCTAATTTTTTACTCCCTGGTACAATTTAAGAAAGTGAGCTGTAGTTTTGCTTTGATTACTATGTGCTGTAATTTTGTCACAAAATGGCCCCCATCATGATAAAAAGAGAAAGAAACCCTGTAAAAGATATTTGATTTTTGAACACACTTATAGACCAAGGCAACTTAACAAAAAATTTTCTGTAAAATTATTGAAGAAATTATTATAAAAACACTCTGTAGATCTCTTTGTTCTCCTGTCCATGTCAGCTCAGTTGAGCCAAGGGGGAAAAGCAGGAGCCTAAATGAGCATTACTTTTTATCCCAGACTTCCCAAGGAACACCTATTAGCTGTGCAGAATAGATATTCCCATCCACCCAAAAAAATCAGCAATAACTTTACCAGGTGTCCAAAGATTTCAAAAATTATGACTTTGAGGTTGAAAAGAGGATTAGTAAAGTTACAGTAAAGGTTGCTTTCATCATCTAAATCTTTGAATCAGCACCACACAAAATATTGCATAGTTTCTATTGTTGTAGACTTTATACTTACATAATTAATGAGAATAGAAGATAATCTAATAATAGGGTTATCTCCTCTTGAGAAAGGTTTATACATTTCTCAGGCTGAAAGACTCAGTATGCCTGCAAAGCCAGATATTAAACAGTTGCACTTAACAAAATTAAATTGTATTCATGAAAATGCATTGTCATGATAGATGATCTTCATCTATAAAGAAAATATAGTTTTATATTGTAACATTAAGAGACAGATACATCTGGTCTGCACATGGATTTGTCAGAAGACCCGTGGGTTTCTGAAAGACCCGTTGAGTTTCACAGGAGGGACCACCGGTGTGAAGGCAGAAGCATACTGTGTTCTACAGAGCTTAATAACATCCATTTCTATTCCGCCTTTTTTTTTATGAAAAACTACACTCTGAGTGTCTGATTCTTTGAACTGGAAATACCTTGGGAAGTGTTAGAGCCATGGGGACAATAAAAGTAACATAACATTTGTTATCCTTTGAAATGGCATCTGGGAATAGCTATAATACGAAAAAGTGATTGTAACCGGTAAAACTAAAAAGAGTAATGAAACTAAAGGAAAGTGGAAGAATGTCCAGCAATAGACTTGAACATGGGAATAGGAGTTTTAGAGATTTAGGATTCCAGCTTTCAGAGCAAGTGAGGCATCATCATTTCCTTTCACCATGAGATCAGCGGTGAGAGGAAGAAAGGGCGAGTTGGAGGTATCCCTTGTATTTCAAGCTACTCTAGTAGAGAGTAGCTTTGTCAAATGGCAATCTAAACTTCTTTCCTACAGATATAGCATTAGAATATTTTATTTCCCTCCTTATAGTATGTTTTGAAGCATTTATAAGATTTTAAAATATCAAAAAATGATTTCCTGTTCTTGCTTTACTTTGATATTTAAAAAATTTGATCTGTAAATCCAAGCGGGGTTTGAATCAGCACCACACAAAAATATTCCATATTTCTCACTATTGTGGACCTTGTACTTACACAGTTGTTTGCTTTTTGCTTTGAGATTGGATTTTGCTGAGTTCCCAAACTGGCCTCACATTTACAATCCTCCTACTTCAACCTTCTGGGAACTGAGATTACAGGCACAAATTGTTATATGTGGCTTTTACTTTGCTTTTTACACAACTGGTTTTGTACCCATTAAAACCGATAAGTTTTAGTTATGGCTTCAGATAATCAACACTAACACAACAAGAAAATCAATGATATAAAACTTTTTCACAGAAAGCCATTAACTATCATTAAAACATATTCACAAAGGTGTGTGCGTGTGCGCATGCACACACACACACACACACAAAACCATACACATACGTGTGCCTTTATTCAATGACAAAATGATTGATATTCATACACAAACACATTGATCTCATACGCAAACGCATCACAGAAGCAGTCACGGCAGAGACTCTGGCTCTTTGGAGGGACTCTCACCTTTACCAGGCTGTCTGTACCAACTCACTTTGTTAGTCATGTGTAACACTGTATTCACAGACCCATGAACTTGACTTCAGCATTCTTAGACCCACAAAGGATACCTGTTACAAACCTACCCACATGGGCCAGAGAAAAACTAACTATAATTCCTAATCAGAAAATTTTATCTTAACCTTTACACAAAATCCACCACCAGTCTTGTAAACCTATTTTTGAGAAGTTTCATCTCAGTGGAGTAAAACATTATGAACCATGTTTAATTTTCTCCAGACTCTGCTTTTAATTATATTCTGTTAAATATACACTGTTCATCTTTTACATTGAATACATTACAGAGCTTCCTGGTTCCTTTCAGTTTTTAAGATTCAGTTCTCTGGCCAGGCACAATGGTACATGACTATAATCCAAGCTACTGGGGAGGCTGAGGCAGGAGGATTGCAAATTCAAAGCCAGACTCGGCAGCATAGCGAGGACCTAAGCAGCTTAGCAAGATCCTGTCTAAAAATGGGGATGTAGCTCAGTAGTTAAGTCCCCTGGCTTTGATTCCTGGTACTTAAAAAAAAAAAGAAAAAAGAAAAGAAAAGAAAAAAAGAAAGAAAGAAAAAAGGACATTCTATTTCGCTCATAACTTTAATCTCTACCTGATTCACATCTCACTGCTTCCCCTTTTCTCATTAATCATGAATCCCAACTCTTGAGACCAGAAGTGAGAAAGAAGGTAGATAACTTCTTTACCTTCCTCAATTCCAACTTAGCACCTGTGGAAATGCAGATTGATGAAAGAAAGTGTCTTTGCCACTTAGACACCTTGGAGATGATGATGGTAATAATGATGTGTGCTTTCTTTGGATACTGTTCAGCTTTTCCTGGTTTTTGTCCAACCCTCTTTTAATTTGGGATATCACCACTGTGGACCAGAAGCTGCTTTGGTAGTAAAATGCCTTCCTCTTTCTTCAACCTCAGTGCACCTTCCTGGAGCACACTGCAATCCTTGCTTAGGTTCTCATCTGTGTCTTCTAGGACCGCCACAGGTGCACAAAGTCTTGGTCCCAGTTTCCAGAAAATATCCCCATCCTTCTCCTCAAACCCACCCCCAGCTCTAGAAAACTGCAGAAGAATAAACAGGAATAGCTGTGTCTTTAGTTGCACACCCCTAAGCCATCACATGCCAAGTTTTCTGAAGAACTCTCACCATTGTCCAAGTAGGTAAGATTTTAGGTTTTTAACACAATAAACAACCAGTTGAGGAATGACATGTAAACCATTTTTTTCTGGCCTCTCCAGTTCTTGTGAATTCTGTCTCCTCAATTGGATAGGAAGGGAAGAGCAGCTTTCTCAATAATCAGCATACTATAGTAATGCAGCCACATATAGAACTGAGTCTATAGCAGCTCAGTTCACAATAGCAAAACTATGGAAGCAATCTAGATGTCCTTCAACAGATGTGTGGATAAAGAAACTGTGGTATATATACAAAATGGAATATTACTCAGCATTAAAAGAGAATAAAATTATGGCATTTGCAGGTAAATGGATAGAGTTGGAGAATATCATGCTAAGCTAAGTAAGCCAATCCCCTCAAACCAAAGGTTGAATGTTCTCTCTGATAAGTGGATGCTGATTCATAATGGGGTTGGGGGCCATGGGAAAAATGGAGGAACTTTGATTAGGCAAAGGGGAGGGAAAGGAAGGGGTATAGTAGAATGAGAAGGACATTATTCCCTAGGTACATGTATGACTGCACAAATGGTGTGATGCTACATCATGTATAACCATAGAAATGTAAAGTTGTGTTGCAATTATTTGTGTACAATGTATCAAAGTGCATTCTGCCATCATATATACCTAATTAAAATACATTAATTAATTAAAAATAAAGATCCAAGCTCTCCATAAAACTATAGACCCAGTGCTCTTTCTCTTCACTTCCCTCACCAGATATCACCTCATATGTATTGTGGGATAGAAAAGGTAGAGTGGGGAGAATGAGAAACAGATAAAGGACATCCTATGTGTTGATTGAATGAGGGCTAGATCACCCAGGTAATGAGGGGAGATGGTGGTATGGATGCTGTCTGCTACCGATGGCTGGTATCTTTTTTTGGAACTATTAGTCAGTTTTTTGTTGTGGCTTATTTACTTACTTATTTTGTTTTCTGTTTTAGCTTAATGTGTTCTTATTTATCTTAAATAGTGAGTGGTAAGCTCATAGGAGCACTTCCTAAGTCATCAGTGGGAAGGAGGAGTTGGGGTAACAGCACGAGGACCAGTTGGGGGAAGAACTGAAATAGCCTTGGCAAAGAAAAAGTGATTCTCTGAATGAATCTTCATTCCGTGGTAGTGGGAATAGTGTAGTAGGAGGTGAAATATGTATTTTAAACAAAAGTATGATGATGTTTCATTCTCCTTGGGCCCAAACATAATGACTGACCTTACGTAAGTGCCTTCACAACTAAAGTCACTAGTTACTTCTAGCCAGGTTTTATGGACTACTTTATTATGCTAGGCTCCTCGGTTAAGTTTTACATGGATTATCTTATTTAATTATTACTACAGTACCTACGTATCAATATGTCCTTTTGACAAAAAGGAAAGCTGGGCCACAATCTAAACTCCATGGTTCTTAAAGAGTTACATTTCTTCTCCAAGTACAGGGGTTTTTATCTTCAATATTGGAGACATTGCCCCTCTTAAGACATTTAATAACTCAGTAACTGGCTAATCAAATTGTAACAATAATGATGATTAATTGGCACTAATACAAATACTTTATGTACTTTGCAGTACTAAAAGGAGCAGCAGGAATTATAATGACAGCTGTCTACTTCAG